CTGAATCAAACGCCTTCTCGTAATCTATGAAGGCTATGTATAGTAGTTGGTTATATTCTACGCATTTCTCTATTACCTGATAGATAGTATGAATGTGGTCGATTGCTGAGTAGCCTGTTCGAAATCCTGCTTGTTCCTTTGGTTGACACACACAGGTGTGCGAGCGTGTGTTGGACAGCCGGCGTGGCGAAGGATAATCTGAGGACGGCGAGTGTAGCAGCCCGGCGGACTGTTTGTCCTATCAGTGTTAGATTTTAACGTTTCTTGTTACTAATAAAATTTCTCTCTGTTTTGAGGTAACGTTTCCATTCCTCCCAGTGGCTAGACGACGAAAACTCCACATTAGATAAGAATGAATATTATATAAATAATATGGGGGTTTTACGTCCCAAAACCACAATATGATTATGAGAGACACCGTAGTGGAGGGCTCCGGAAATTTCGGCCATCTGGTATTCTTAACGCGCACTGCCGCATCTGGAATCGAACCCACGACCTTCGGGCCAGCAGCCGAGCACCCTAACCACTGCTCCACCATGACGGACATTAAACGATGCTTTGCAACAAAATTTAAGAACGGAGTTTGGGGTCCGTTCGTTGCTCTGTTCAGTCTTTTATGAACTGCTCGAGCGGCTTTTGTGATTTTCATAGTCTTACACAGCTCAGAGGTATTGAACACAAGCGTCCACTGAAAAATATTCAGCTTAATAAAGAACGTTAAAGGCGCTATGTTTAACTGTCAGGTAATAAAAGAAAGACGATGCTCTAAAGCCAAATGTCAAGGAGCGACATTTGCAAGGGGTGTACCCCCAGCCTGAACAGAAAGTGGGTCTTGTCCTCACTTATCGCCCACATCCCAGAAACCAAACGATCGTTTGCGAGCACTAGCGGCACTGCGCGCGGCTTCAAGCGGAACGAAGCACGGATAGACTATTAGTACTATAGTGAAGGAGAAGGGCTCGCCTTGGGCAGGAAAAGCAGGCACAGAGTGGTGGTGGTGGAGACGAATATGAGCGTGCCGACGAGCGCGTATGTGAGCGTGTAGCGCTCGGTCGAGATGACGTTGGCCAGCGCCACGACGAGCGCCGAGGTGATGACGGCGTTGTAGACGCTCATGCCGATGTACTGCGAGTCGTTGAGCGCCGGTATCTGGACGTTGCGCGTCTCCCAGGCCATGTAGCAGCCGACGACGAGCAGCAGGCCCTTGTAGATGTACAGCGCGCCCAGCCACTTGGCCATGTGCTCCGAGTGGCATTGCTCGCGCTGGGGCAGGTACACCACGTCCCGCTCCAGCCTGGAGATCTGCGCCCACAAAACGAGAGCAGTGTCTGCCGAGAGAGACGAACAGGCGCTGAAATTGACAGCTGTATGGAATATATTTTCGAAACAAAGTATATTTTGGTCATGTTTCTAGGGCTATGACTTGCACCTACGTCACTTTGACGTAACGGCTCGGGGCAAGTCGGCCGTGCTGGTGAACAGCGTTTAGACCTTGACCAGCGCTGTCTCGCTGTACCGGCGAGTTTATTCCTCCTCTAGGGTTACAAGCGCAGTTGTAGGCAGCTCTAGTCGTAGTGGCAGCTGCGGACGAAAGAAGCAGCCCACTAGTGTGAACCAATACTTCTTTAGAGTCGGTTCATACTCGCAACCTCGACTTGCTGCGTAAGGTGTGGGAAAACCGGAAGGGAGACAGAAAAGAGCACAGTCTACCAACTGTTTATTGTCGCTTCGCGAAACCAATTTCTTGGCCTGTCACACTGCCCGATCACGTTGGGCACAAAATCTGGAAGGTGCCGCAGACAGAGCCGTGAAAAAACACTTCATTTGCAGTAAATGTCACAATATAAACTACGTAATCACAAGGTGTATACTTCTGTATTATCTCAATACTTTTATATTTTTATTGCAACAAGCATCTACGATGACGCGAACACATAAAAATGACTGTAAAACTTTTTAAAAGCTCTTGACACTGACTAAAAGAATGAAACATCATTTTTAAGATCTTCCAAAGCCAGCGACAAAACTGGCTTAGAAAACCGCAATGACAAATTGTATGAAGGGAAGCAGTGTAAACTTAGGCTAGGGCTCATTTTTCTTTGTTACATGCAAGATAAATGAGAAGCAACAGACAATGCTGCAAGAAAGTATAGGGGACGTTATTAGAAGCAATTGTAATGTCTATGTGATCAAAGAAAAGTGGACGAAGAGGTACTTTGCTAATGGCATCTTTTCGTCCACGTTTCTTTTTTCACATTTACACAACAATTATTACTTATAACGTCGCCCATACTTTCCTTGGTATCGTCGTCTGTTAGTTCCCATTAATCTTGGGTCTAATATAAGAAAGCGAGCCCTTAAGTTTACACTCGTTTCCTTCACTCATAGCGAAGGTCTCGTCCTGGCAGACTCTATGCCTTCAGGTAGTATACGAGGGATTATTGGTCAGCTGCTGGCTTGTTATAAAATCACGTTACACTTGATACCATCAGGCATAAGAAGAGTGTTCGCGCTCGTGTGTGTGTCGTCCGTGTCTTTTTGCGCTGTTTATTTGTTACAATGCTACCAAAACCAACTAGCCGACGCAAGCATTAACAAAACCTGGGAGGGGCGAATCATGCTTTGTTTTGAGCGAGATTTCTTCGATGTGGCCCTATAGTGTTGCCAAGCCTCAAAACGGGCATGTAGGAAAGGGTGTTTCCGCTGCACTTACGTGACTGTCTCGGAATCCAGCTTACCCTAAGGTCCTTTCTTTTTCTTCTCCTTCGTCCCTACATGCCCGATTTCAGTTCTCCTACGACATGTAAGGAAGAATGCGTCTGTTCCACTAACGTAACTGCCTCGGAATTTAGCTTACTCTAAAATCTTTTTGTTCTTCTTCCCTACATGCCCTATTTCAGTTCTCCCTCGACATTTAAGGAAAGATGCTTCTGTTCCACTAACGTAACTGCCTCGGAATGTAGCTTACCCTAAAGCGCGTGGTTGATCTTCTCCTTCTTCCCTGCATGCCCGAGTTTAGCATCATTCCTAAGGAAGGTTGCTTCTTCTCTACTAACGCTACTTATTTGTTGCACCTTACCGTCCCCTTCTACACTTTCAGTGAACCAGTAGAGAGTTGCGGAATGTACCCAATTTAGTGGCACATAGCCACTTTCATGATGGACCGTGACTACACAACACGCCGTGACAACAAGAGACGCCGACAAGCCTAACTCCTAATGTGCTTCGAACCAAAAACGTCAGCACATATCTCCCCAAAAGACCCACGTCTCTCCAAAAAATATATTCAGGCTATAAAGCAAAATATATCCCGCAGCGTTATACCATGAAAGTTGACAAGCTTTAATCTCAATCTCCTTGAGGGCATTACGGAATCCTGAGAATTAAAAAAAGTCCACAGCTTTGCCGGAAAGGCGCGCAAGAACGCGACAGCAACAAATTGAAAGATCACGCGCAGAACGGAAAGCAGATCCAAACATGCCCCGCGTTCCTTCACGCACAAATGACGCTCAAACGTAATTACAGCTGCAGATGCACGCAAATAAGCGTCTCATTTGGTTACTTTGCTGTGTCTGAAAAGCGCGCGCTTTTCGCCAACGGAGACTGCAAAGATTTGCAGTGCCCTTTCTGCACCCGTACTACAACAGAATCGTTCCAGGTAAAGCCGAGGCAGCTAAGGCGTTACGACCTTCACTTCCTCGCCACTCGAGATAAGGGTGCGCGACGGAGGTCGCTCCCCTTCTCTAAGCCGGGCAAAGTACGCGTAGGAGATTAGAGCGGCGCCGCGCGCTCATGCGCACCTTGCTGTTAATGCTGAAACAATACCCCCTTTCTCCCCGAATGCTCGTGAGCAGTGGTAAGTGGTTTTAGATATAAGTAGCTTGCCGTTTTAACGGTGAATGATGTGCTCCGGGTTGGCTCAGTGGTCAACCCTCGCTTCACGACGCAGAGGTCCCACGTTTGATTCCGCGCGCCGAAGTGTTTTTTTTTTCGATTTTTTTTCTTTCTGCGTCATGTATATATAGTACGATATACCTATACAGTGAATGACAACGCCGGCAGCGAATCCCGCCGATAGGTCCATATAATTGTTATCGCAATAAAAAAGTTCCAGTATCTCACAAAGTGAATCATGACGAGTGGGGAAGATCTGGGTATCGTATCGATGAGTAACCGTATTACCCTATTGTAGTCACGTAATATAAATTGAGTGACAGAATGATATTATACAAGTGGTAAATTATTTACCTGTCCAGTCGTTCTAGGCTATTAAGAAAATTTAGAACATTGCTGGAGTGGAGGATACGCGACCAGGTGAGTCCAGAACGCGCCATCTTAACCGTTGAGCAAGATACAATTTCAAAATATGGGAAATTGTGATGACATATAGTGCTCTGCGTGTGCCTTGGTGATAGCTTTCCTGGAGAAAGCTGTCCTCTAATTTTATTTTAGTAGAGATACGTCATCAATACAATTTGGATAAGTTGTTTTCGCCGAGATCAGCAATCTTTCTTCTTTTTTGAATGATTATGCTACGTCAATGTTGATGTCACTTGTAAAACCTCGTTTTTGTGTCTTACGTATGTTTCGACTATAGCGATGGTTATATTCCGTGACGACAACAGAAGACAAGGCTTGGTCCTTCGGAGCTTTGTCCCTAAAACATGTCCAAGTAACAACATCGTAAATAATTTGGAGCAGTGTATGGCACAAGTCATCAGCTCGGACAGAGATGTGCAACTGTAGCATGAGTAGACGTGCGCAGATTTTACTATTAAAATGGGTAAGGAGGGGCCACCATTAGGACCCCACACCTCCCGTTGGCTGAGCCCAAAAGACAAGAGGCTTCACATTGAATGAAAAAAAAAGAAACTTAAGCGATGACGTGTTTACCACAACGGCCCGCCTTTGGTCCGGGGCTTTTGTGCAGCTAAACGGACGAGTAAACAATTCTAGGAATGCAACATCGGGGCCCTTCAGCCAACGTTATTGACAAAAAAGAGAGAGAAAAAAGAAAGACCCTGCGTTGTCAAAAAGCTGCTGTTACACACTGGCGGGAAAGGTCCTAATGAGTCAAAGTATGGGTGGACCCTTATGACTTTGTGCGCGCCTGTGATCGCACTTCTGAATCATGTTAGGCGGAAGGCACTGGGTCCCTGGAGTCTCATTCAATAAGCTCCGAAATCTCCCTTGAAATAAGGTTTTCATTGTTCTAGCAATGTAACCCTGGAGCGCAACCATTTTTCTTTTACAGTTTACTTCCACGCCTGCGCCAGTTAGCTCGACTTCGAGCCGCGAGTCTCGCTTCGTGAAACACCTTACGCCTTCATGTCTTCGCACCAAACGCAGTGAGACTGTCGCCAAGAAGTTCGTCAGGCGCGTCGGTAAAGCAGGTCTGCTGAAAGCGCAGTTAGCGTCACTTACCGGCGCCAACCCCAGCGCAGACAGTGCGTGAGACATCTGCTGCGGCGTAGATCCATTCAGCGCCGGTCGCACCGGGGAACGCGGCTGGCGAGCGCAGAGCACTCGACGAGGCTTTTACCGCGCGCTCTTCGATCTGACGCGAGAGTGAGCCAAAGGAAATGCGGCGACTGGTCGATCGCGCGACTGCACAAAAGGGATAAATGTGCAAAGTGGCGTGCGGTGAGGTGACACCTTTTCAGGAGCCACCTCCGTTCCTGTGCCAAAGTGATGGGCTCTTTTGATTCGTTCGTTCTCTCGGTCTTCTTCGCGGAATCGTATCGCCGTACAAATGCACCTGTGTCGCCACGTACGCGGAGCACGCGTATACACTAGGCACTTGTCTTTGCAGCAGTTCCACTCAGCACTTCGACTGGGTCATGCCTCAACAGATGTTCGGCAGTGGGTAATCGCGTCTCGTATAGCATCAAAGGGTTGGAACCAATTGGGACCACTCATAACTACATTAACCAACATCAATACTTCAAACAAACTGTAAAGAGAAGTTTGTTTTTAAACTCTTCATTTCACTTCCTCATTAAAGATCACCTAGTGTCTGGCACATCATAGCCATTGCTGTTGTTGCGACATAAAACCTAACTAACAACTAACCAACTAGCTAACTAACTAGCTAACTAACTAACTAACTAACTAACTAACTAACTAGCTAACTAGCTAACTAACTACTAACTAACTAACTACTAACTAACTAACTAACTAACTAACTAACTAACTAACTAACTAACTAACTAACTAACTAACTAACTAACTAACTAACTAACTAACCAACTAACTAACTAACTAACTAACTAACTAACTAACTTCAACACATCTCAAGACCTCATTGATGATACCGAACCAACCACACATATTAACGTCAAAATGGTTTGTTCTGCGTATTCGTATCTTTGTTTACTTTATTTACATAGTACCTGCAACACCGCAGTGGCATTACTGCAGGGGGTGTATATGCAAAGTCAGTATGGCTAATGACATTTTGTGATAGCACAGAAAAACATAATAGAAAATATAATTCTAATATGTAACAATCACAGTATGCAAACAATATTTTGGTAGGATATGGCACATAACAAAGAGATACCAGAAGTGCAATACACATTTCACAGCGATGAGAAAAAGGAACGTTGCATTTTTAGTCTATTTACCGCACGTTATACTTCGAGGCTATACTTTTTTGTTATCAGATTTAAAATAAATCAATTTCTCACGGCGCTAGTGCGCTATTCATGTAACATGTAACATTTATATTCATTTTCTTCTACCTTACTGATTTTTTTTATGAATATGTATGCAGAATTAGGCCAAAAAATTAGGTAACTCCCACTACTGACCACTGGTGCACTAAAAATGAAGGAGGCAACAGTTAGCCCAACAAATAGCTGCAAAGCGACTGCAGTGAGTCGAAGACACCCATTGCGTAATGCAAGAAAGCACCATAGAATGGGAAGGGCGACGGCGGCTGCGACAAGAAGCCAAAAGGTTGGAAGGCCCACGATGACATGCCCAGCGATCCAATAAGAACGCTTCAGGGTGAGTTTCTGTCTCTGGAGTTTTAAAACCGTCTCGGCGGTTTAAATCGAATCTCTCTGTGCTGAAATCAACGTTGAAACAGCCTACTGCTGAAACAACTAAGAAGCAGCTAGATCGATCTTCAGCTTCGTACAATTTCGATGTTTCAAGCATTGCGCGCCATAGTGGAAGCTGTGTCACTCAAGCCGACCACTCTATGTGTGAGTAAATACCCTCCCCCCCCCCTTTTCTTACTTGTGCTCCTCTATCTTTGCTTCTATACTTCTCTAGTCATCACCGCAACGTTGCTCAAGTGTAACTAAATATCCGTGCTTAACACATGTCTCCATTCAGTGATTATTTCGTTCCTTACGCGGCAGCGCTGCGAGCCACAACTCGCCATTGTGGACGTTTTTTCCGCTTGGAAGGGGACAGGACGACGACGATAATAAATAATATTATATCAATTGTTGCTCTTTTATATCGACGTCCGCTTCACAGAAAAGCCCCTTTGCCACGAGTAGCTACAAAACTGCACGAAAAGCGACAAGAACAGATAAGGCACACCGCAGCCTAGCAACTGAAAATTTATTGAAGGATACAGATATAACTAGAAAAAAAACCTTCAGTTGCTAGTCTGCGCTTGTGTGTGCGCCTTCTCTGTTTCTTGATGCTTTTTCGCGCAATTTTGTAGTTAGGAATTACCAACTCGCCCAGCGTTCAGTACTCTTAACATGAATGTTTTATGCCGAGCTATACCTGGGTAACGCATCTCCTTCATGGATATGAGTTGTAAGATATACACTAACACACGGCAAAGAGAAAAAAAAACAAGGAAAAACTCCGCTAACTGGCAGTTAAACCTATGACCTCTCGCTCAGCATCACGCGGCGCGAAACGACTCAGCCACGAGCCGAAGGTTTTGATATCTAATGGTGAGCTATTTATATATGTACACCATTCACTGTCGGCGGTACTCGGAGATGGGCGAATTCATCGTGTTTTCGTTATGACAGTGGGCGCGAGGGTGTGCTTTGAAAGCCGTAGCTTGGCGGGTTGCGATGCACGCGCGCTTATCTTGTGATCGGGGCTGTTCGCGCGTCTCGGGCGGCCGTTTCAGTTCCATATAGCACGAAGGTCACCTCACTCGTTGCAGCGGCCGCGTTTGCGAATGAAGTGCGCTGCAAAGACAGAAAGCAGTAAGTGTGGCAGTTGTTCGCGCTCGCCTCGTACTTTGATTTCGATGCAGGTTAAAGAACCCCATGTGGTAGACAATTCTGGAGCCCTCCACAGCGGTGACTCTCATAATCATATCTTTGTTTTTGAGACGTTAAACCCCGACAATCATTACTGAATGGCAACCTTTTAAAAAATACGGCATTGCTAAGTGTGGTATACGTTTCGATGTATGCTGTAGACTGGAATAAAGGAAGGTTATTTAAAAACGTGCGTGACTAAGAGATTTGAAGGTATAGAAACTCTAGAGGTGCATTCTGGAGCAGTACTGATTCGCAAGTTAGCAAGGTAAGGAAGCAAACGACAGTTTCATAGAGAGAAAAGCAAAGTAAAGGCAGGGAGGTTAACTAGGTTGTACTCGATTTGCTAACTTATGTGAGGTAGGTGGCAGAAGAGAAAAAAGAAGAAAAAAAAGAAAGAAAGAACAAACCATACCCGCACGTGCATATAAGCGCTTACTGCACACACAGCCACACACAGGCAGTCACAAGAAGGCCCCGTTACCCTTTAGTTCAGCACACTCCAAGCTTGTTAAGCGAGGAATGGCCAAAGCATGTATGATGACATCATTGTCAAGGTCTTGCCATCACCAGGTTCAGAGCAGTTTTGGCAACCAAGTTAACAGATTTAGGAAAGCAGGCTTTCCTTATCACCTTCTCTCGGGCATAGTAGAATCACTTCTGAATGTATTTAGGCAGGGCAAGAATTCGCTTTCCGATTAGTGTCAGCCGACGAAGATTAGGGCGCAAGTAATCATCTACACTAGCGGCAAGCCTGCCCTGACGGCGCGGGGCCGTAGACCGGCAGCCGGCGCCATCCGCAGGAGAGCTGTTCGAAGTGCACCGCAAGCTTCGCCGTCGAGACATTCTTGCCTCCGACAAACATGGCCACTCTTCCGAATCCATGCAGTTGTCGAGCAGCTCGAATCTATCAAGTGGCTGCCGCGCGCTTTGTAGCGCGTAAGCTCCGAACGTATTCTTTTACTCGTTTTGGACTCATGTCCTTAAGCTTCGACAACGCAGTACTCGAATCTATTTGGCACAGTTTTTGAGAGCCGCACTCAAACAGTTGATGATGTAGGCTTACGAACCTCTCTAATCACGGATGACATATAATACACGTTTGTTAGTTGTTTCTAACCCCTGACTGCTGGCGCCACTTGTCCAGGCACCAGTTATGGAACACGCTTCGTTTACGCTGCACCTTTTGTGAATACCGGAGATGCTAACGCGCTCTATTAAGTGCTGGAACAACACGTATGACATCCACATTTATAGCTTGCAGGGGACTCACCAGCTGGATTCCGAGCTGAACGGTTGTGTCACCCTCAATCTCCGACGCCAGAGTACCTCTCGCCGATCAGCCCACCGTACTCAATCTCCTAACGCGGTATAGCTATCTCCGAGTGGTACGACGTCTTTGTACTTCTTCAACAGTGTTGGCTAGCTGTGTCTCCCATCTTTCCCTTCTGCTTTCTATTTCTGTCGCTCCTGTGCGGCGAGTACTCTCTCTTCTTTATCTTATCCCCCTCCTTCCATCCCCTACAATGCACTGCGCCCTGTCGCCTATAGACAGACAGAAATCAGGTGCCCTTTTACCTTCTGAAAAAACCATGCATTAATTCATTACAGCGTAAATTTCGTTCAGACCAGTTGTGCCCCCACGATCTCCAACGTCAGCGCAGCTCTGGCCGACTGGGCTCCCCCTACGCCATCTCCTGACGCCGACAAGAGCTCTCGCCGAGTGGTGCCCCGTCCCCAGACTCTTGCGACCGTGTCCATCTTTCCTATATTCTCCTCACTTCCATATGGGGCTGTTCCTGTCCCTCTCTCTATCTCTATGCCTTTGATGCCTCCCTATCCTTTTTAATCCCCCCTTACCCCCCTCCCCTGCACAGAACTGTGGAGGTGCCCTCCATTGAGAGAGGCAGTAACGGAACTGCGCTTATTTTTCCTTTTCCCCTTTCAAAAGTCACTTAACCGCAGAGCTCGGAGTGACCCGCGCCACGCCGTGGTGGTCTAGTGGCTAAGGTTCTCAGCTGTTGACATGCAGGTCGCGGAATCGAATCCCGGCTGCGGCGGCTGCATTTTCGATGGAGGCGGAAATGCTGTAGGCCCATGTGCTCAGATTTGGGTGCACGTTAAAGAACCGCAGGTGGTCAAAATTTCCGGAGCCCTCCACTACGGCGTCTCTCATAATCATATGGGGGTTTGGGGACGTTCAAACGCAACATATCAATCAATCAAATTGGAGTGACCCACGCAGACACAAACGACGCGGCTCACCATGTCACTCCTTCGTCACTGATTGGCTACGTCACTCTCCGGCAAATGGCAAACGGTGCAAAAATGGGTCTCGAACCCATTTTTTGAACAGCAAACAACGGCAGATGTGCGCAACGGAAACAGCCACGCATGACTGCCTGAGAAAGTCAAACGGCGAGGCATGCATGCCGTTAGCGTGAAACGGCCCTTACAGAATAACTATGTGTGATTGGCCAAGATTTCGTAGTTCACTTTTCTCTCTCTTTCTTGATCTTTCCCAGTTTTTTGTCTTTATCTCTTTTTATTCTTATTTTTCGTCCCATCCATGTCTCTCTCTATTACTTGCTGGCTTCCTCATTCAATATTCAGACGTGGTTTGTGTTGTGTTCGCGTTGTCGTAATGCCCGCCCTTAATATTATCATCAAGATGCTCGAAGAATCAGAGGAAGAAGACTTCTTTTTGCCGTGAGCACGCACTCAACATGCTACAGCCGGATATAAGCTATATTTGGTTTAGCTTGCGTTACGCCAAGTGACGATGACAGCAAACGACAGACCGACCCTTGAACATCTCCACCCAGAATGTTGCAGGGTGCACATACAATATACAATACGCAGGGTAGCCAACGTTTGCAGATTGGCGAGCTGCGGAATTACTGCATGAAGCTTGCGATTTCAATTCAAACTAACCTGCATGGTCAGGTTTCGCATGATCCTTTCCATGGGGTCGAAGGTGACCCATAGAGTGACGATTGCGCAGTCGATGAGGACCAGGACGCAGACAAGCGCGATCAGCTGCTGATCCTGAAGGAGCTGCATCGAAAAGGGAGGAGGCGTTAGTCTCTTGCATGCTTTCTTTTTTCTGTACGTCAACGGTGTTACATGCGGCATCAAAGGCCAAGTTTAATGGCGGACGGAATACACAAGCAATGTGGCGCGTGGCCTGTTTATATTTACAATAGATCTATGGAATGGCGGCCAGAGAACACATTGAAAATAAATATTCGAGCATTACGGTGTATACATGGACAAAAATACGCTAGACATTTAGGTGACGGACATCTTGATATACCAGCGCTATCAGCTCGTGCGTGGCAATTAGGGCAGGTACGATTCAATCTGATCCTAATATTTCCCCTGATTTTACATTTTTTACTTACAACTTTTCTGTGTGTGCGTCCATTTTTGTTTACCATATACCACATTTCCATTCTCATCGTTGAGCAGTAGCAAGTAATCGACTTGTACAAGTCGGATAAATACAACCTTTCCATAAAACGGTCTCTCTCTTAGTTAACGAGAGATACTATTGAGGTATATACCGCATAAAAAATGGCAGATCCCACGTATATCTTGAAAATCAAACTCATGCGAAGTATGCGGATGGAAGATGGCAGGGTTGTAATTTTTTTTTATTGAGCAATATGTTACAAATTGTCACTAGAGATATTGACAAACAACGCACGCACACGCACGTTAAACAGCCGCATATATTTTATATAACCAGTTGTTTGAAGTAGCATAACGCTGCCAACAGCAACATGTATATTAGCGAAACCAGAAGGGGTAAGCTGATATGAAGCGCCGGTGCTCGTGAGGGTTGTAGCCCTGGACACTACTACACAAACCAACTTCAGCGAATGAGGCCCAACTACGACTGACATTAAGCAGACATGACAGCTGTACCTAAGGAGCACGGTCGAGTATGATTTCAAGGTTATCGCGCAAGCATTGATCAAAAACTACAACAGTGCCACGTCCCAGAATACACTTTCGAGAAGAGGGTGGTATCACGAAAGCTTCACTCACTCTTTTTGCTGTTCCTTGAGCCACGATCACTCCAGTCTGAGAGAGATGGTTTAACGAAGCAGTGCCTAGCTAGCACTATAGCTGTAACACATTTTCCCAAGCAATCTTGTGATCGACTGTGGAGATAACAGCCGACGAAGAATACACTTCATCGTGACGAATGTGGGGCTCGAAGTTGAGAGAAGGAGTGTAAAGTTCGTCTTAGGGGTGATTGTTGCAGCATGGAACAGCCAACGACGGAGAGAAGGCAAAATCATAATTTTCATTGTTCAGATACGTGCTGCTAGGCCCCTGGGACGTTAGGGAGCTCGATAACCTTCAGTCGCGCGCGACTGTACTTATGTAATGTTTAAAAAATTGGATAGACGTTTCACAAACATTAAAGCCTACTTGAAAAATAGTTCCGAACCCTGGCATGGATCTGTAATAGAATACTCGGTTGCCACGCATAATGCTGGGGTTAGATTCCTGCTGGGACCCTAACAAAATATGTACAAAGGTATGTACAAGCATGCACAAACGTATGTACAAGTGTTATACGCAGAGAAACATATGTTGAACAGTCGCATATATTTTATATACTTAGTCGTTTACCGTTGCCTAACGATGCCAATTAATCAGACTATTTCCATCACAGACATGTAGCGCATACATTTTGTTTGCGCATAAGGCACAGTTCTTTAGAGGCGACTTCTTTCACCGGGACGGCTCAGTGCTCTCCCTTAGTTGAGTACGAAGTGCTCAAAATCGTTCAACATTTTTTTTAACATTACCGACACCAGAAGCGGTAAGTTGAAACGTCGTGCTTGCTAGGATGGTAGCCCTGGGTAGTGCTACGCAGACCAACTTGAGTGGATAACGCTTAAATACAATTTACGTTGACCCGATGGGACGCCTGTGCCATTGGAATACACATGTAATGTTTGTAAGCTTAGAGTCGCAGCACTGCAACGACAATTGACGTTTCACCAACATTGCGCCTTGTCGCACGAGCCTACAAAACACACATCATCCCACACATTGGTTGCAACATTCCACCTCTGACAAACATCCGACAACTCTGACAAACATTACTACTCTGACATGGCAAAAAAATACTTTTCAATAGACTCATGCAAAGACGCAGCGTACTCCGTCGCTCTCAACAATATCAGGAGTAACTGTTGGAGACCTAAACCACGCGAATAAGCACGTTGGTGTTTCTTCCTTGTCGCACACGTAGAGCATTTTGTCGCGGTTGTGCGTATCAAGCGCACTACGCAGATCACTTCCGAGGCCGCGCGATGAAGCTTGTAATTTTATCGTGAGACAAAGTGTGACGACCCCGAAGAAGAAGCAGGAACGAAGCGAACGATGACTGCGGGAGTGAAACCACGACGTCAGCTCCGCGGTTTCGCTCGGCGAGCAGCGACGCGCGAATTCTCCCGTCGGAGCTAGTTCCGCGGTTTCGCCTATTTATTGCGTCCCACGGGAAGCGGCGCACGGGGAAGTGGTGCGCGAAAGTAACCGCCCGGGTCCTGCCTCGTTTGCCGATAGCGACTCCCTCGGCTGGTTCCTCGGGTCGTTCCACTGTACGGGAGCCGCGGCCCCGTTTTCGGCGCTGCTGCTGACATGGCAGGTTGTCGAAGGAGCTGCGTCGGCTAAGTTCACGCAAGGCAGGTCCTTATTTTTTACATATGCACTGTGGTGGGTAGAGCCCAGTTTTAAATAATAATAATAATAATAATAATAATAATAATAATATAATAATAATAATAATAATAATAATAATAAGAATAATAATAATAATAATAATAATAATAATAATAATATAATAATAATAATTACTCTGTCCTTGAGCTATAGTTGTGCACCTGCAGGTTCCTATGTAGAATTTTGCGAGCGTCTTCACTTCAGGAAACGGTGTTCGGTTAGATGCTGTCGGGAGAGTCTCAACGCTCGATGATATGTCGGTACTAATGCATAAGCGGTGTTCCCGCAAGACTGAATTGCATTCATAGGCACGTATCACTATTTTCAATCAGAAATAGGTAAGCTTTGCGCTAGGACTCTTCATATGTTTGAAAAGTTCGAAAGAATGATTCGAATTGTGCAAATCAATTTTATTAGAAGCAGTCGGCGAGTAACCCCTTAATGCCGCACCTTGACCCAAGTCTGGCTACGTGGATCAACGTTTTTGTGCAATGTGGACTATTGTGAGACCATAACGTTTTGAGAAAGTGGCGACGTGCCCACTACGCGTCAAACATCGCTACTCCTGCGACTCCTGCACTGACGTTACGATGGTATGAAGTCTCTGAAGCAATTTCATGCACTGGCATGCCTCCGTGGTAGAATACTTGACTGCCAAGCAAAGTACCTGTGTTTGATTCCGGCTGAGAAACGTTTTTATTCTTTGCATCCAGAGAGATTTTTTTTTTTTCGCTTATGGTCAACGCCACCGACGCTGACACGTGATTTTCCGTTACGGGGACTCGTTTACGCTGTCACGTTAAAAAATAAATTAAGGCAGCTTGCACTACCAAGACTGAATGAAGTGCGCATTTTTCTTCGCTTTTATTTATTTCTATCATCATCAAGGTGCTCAAAGAAGAAGCGATTGCTCTTTGGAGTGAGCTACAGATGGCTACGCTGCTACATGAGGGTTTTTGCTGCATCCAAGCTACGACAGCATATGGCGGTGATACGACATCATAGAGCAACCCGGCCTCATAATGTGCTCCGCACTTAAAAATATCAGCTACTTTTTTACGTAGCTTTTTTATCTATTCATTATTTTTTCGAGATAACGTGAAGCGTACGCGCTAAAATGTTGCGCCATAGTTCGGTAACCGACATTTCTCTGATATCAAGAGGAACGACGGCACAGAAGTTCAGCTTCGCCTGGCCTTTCATCCGAAATGTGGTGCGTGTTTTTCTTTTCACCCGAACTTGCGCAAACACCGTCTTACAGGAAGTTTTCCCTTGCATAAACACGGTTAGCACGACGAGCTTATCGTCGGTTATGTTAGGAAAGTTTCCGGCAGTGCTTATTGCAAAGCTTGCTATAGGTCGTTCCTTTCTCTTCAAGTTACTTTTTTTTTAACTGCTTATGTGAGCAAAGCACTTCAACAGGGAGCTGTACACACGCACTAATGTTGCACGATTCAAGACGCAAACAAGACGTCCGTGTATCTTGCGAAAGGTTATAAAGCAACTCAACGCGAAGAAACAAGAGGTACAGGATGGAGCGCCGCCTTGTGTTCAATTATCTTTCACAAACTTTGAACCTTTCAGCCCAACATCACGTTTCCTTAACGTACGCACATCCATCCATCCATCCATCCATCCATCCATCCATCCGTCCGTCCGTCCGTCCGTCCGTCCGTCCGTCCGTCCGTCCGTCCGTCCGTCCGTCCGTCCGTCCGTCCGTCCGTCCGTCCGTCCATCCATCCATCCATCTGTCCGCTCACGCCTGGGTGCTCTCGTGAAGACCCTCTTGGCGTAAACCAAAATTAGTATGGTTGAGTAAGATGGTAACGCTAGCATGCGTGAACCCGTGCCAGCGGCACCTGTCTTGTGCAAGTGCGAGCGTCTTAATGATCTGGATGCGACGCCAATGCTTGATCGCTCAGAAGGGCTGTTCGTGCGTACGCTTCAGCGCAAGTTCTCGTTTGCGATCCTTGACCAATTGTTACAAGTTATTTACAGGCGTTGAAACCTCCACCATTTTTTACAGTGCCTCTAACTGTAGCTATTTTGCGTGATGAGCTAAAAATTACTTATTTGAAATACTTTTTTGTAGACTAGTTGGCTCATAATGAAAACTGTTCAGTAACATACTTAACAGAAACCCATAGCAAGTTTGTGACACTAATAATAATAATAATAATAATAATAATAATAATAATAATAATATAATAATAATACTAATAATAATAATAATAATAATAGTAATAACAATCATTCAAAACTTACGCCCCCCTTCCCCGCCCAACACACGCAAAAAACGAGATGATTACCAGAGACACCATCGAAGAGACCTTTGAAAATGTCGACCGCCTTGTGTTCTTTAACCCACAGCGAAACTTGATAGGCGTGCCTAAAACATTTTCGCTCTATCAAAAATGCGGCTGCAGTGGCCGGGATTCAATCCTGCGACCTGCGGGTGAATAGTGGGGAAGCTTGGCCACCATGGAGGGCCACTACAACAAATGCCACATTGGTTCACTAAGGTGAACATACACATGTAAATATATAAATACATGAATAAATGTATAACTATGGGAATATACATAAAGAAAATGAAGAAAAAATTAACAAACAAATAAATGAATTTGTGTGCCACACTGCTCCACTCCTCATCCAACGCCACAGAGTGAAATTACTCGTGAAGTTTTTTGTTGTTGCTTCGCTCGATACGTCAGGGCGAAAGTCACGTTTGGAAGTCACGTTTCTCTGTCGTTAATGGATGATCGCCACTCCGGAGCTGGCTATCGAGATCTGCGTGATATACACTCACCTTGTTCTTGATGACGCCGCTGGAGGCGCGCACGAACAGATGATGCACCCGGTAAGTCTTTATGAAGATCGCCCCGAAAGCCAAGGAGAAGCCACCCGACAGCAGGAAAGCCCGCACCTGCACCCCGTTGAATTGAATTGAAACAACTTACAAAATATAGTATCGTGAGAAAAGCATCTTAATACCTATAGCCTAAGCCTAGTTGGCATTCACTGGAAAGTAATCATGAAAAAAAGGCATATAGCTTTTAAATAAAGAAAAAGAAGTGTAGAAACAATTATTTTTACTAGTGTATAACACTTGGAAAACTTATCGTAACATTATTGATTTAGCTTTTCGTGCACGAGTCTTTATAGTTACGTTATAATTAGTTCTAATAACAACTCGTATTTTTCCCTTGGCGTCAGTGCTGTTATTTTTTATTAAAAGAAACGTTAGGCCTGCGCGTAAGGCGCAGACCTAGTCACAGCTAAAGCCAGAAGATCGCCCTTTCAGAGCCTTTTCTAAAACACTCATTGGAATACTGCTGCAAGCACACTTGTTGAATACCCACTACGGGCAATATAATAATAATAATAATAATAATATAATAATAATAATAATACTAATAATAATAATAAATAATAATATCAATAATAATAATAATAATAATATAATAATAATATATCTGGGAAGTAGACCAGCTTCGCTATGCTATTTTCCGTCATTCTTCTGAGAAGCGTTGTATCCGCTAAACACTTGCAAGGAATTTCGTGCCAATCGTTCATGCAGTGGCTCACGATGATGAGAAATTATGCCTGTAGTATGTATGCACCACAGTTATAGGTGATCGAAACCAAGCTTTTGTAATGAATTGGAGCATTAAACGACTTACTGGTTACGCTGCTCGCATTGTTTGACGCCTCGTTGTTCTTTTACTGTTCTAAAACGCTTTATTACTCATATTATCGCGATTCCTTTTCCGACATCAAGCCTGCCTAAGGCAAGTTTACGAACAAGGTCCATGCACCGGCGTGACTGAGTTGTAGAATAGTGGTTTAGAGTGCCTCGATGCCCGCTCCCCCGCTTAGAGTGAAGACATCTGCTGCGGTCGCCATTACCACTCCCGTTGCATACCGGTGTCGTTCTGGTGCGTAGTGGCCCACTAGCATAATGCGAATGGTTGTAGCCCTGAGTAACTGAACGTGCAGGCATAACATGCCGAACAAAGCCGACACGTGAGCTCTACAGCTTGGCGAAGACGCGGCAGACACTACAATGGCAATGGGAGCAGTACAAAAGGTGGGAGCACTCTGAGAGCGGGGGCACGCGCATCGATGCACTCTATACTGGGTCGGCACGCAGCGGACCTGGGTTTGAGCCCCGCGGTGTCTTTGGTGCTGTCTTTTTTTTTCACTTCGCGATAATGGTTACTGACACTGGCGGCCGCGCGTGACCCGAGTTTTGATCTCACAACAGCTTTCGCTGTAAAAAAGGCGCTCTTAAATTTACACTTCCTTCCTTAATTATAACATTATGTATATACAGAGCTTAGTGGTTAATGATGAGAATGGACCGGAAAAGTTTAGAAAAAAAACAAAAGAAAATTAGTTAAATTGCGTATAAGAAAAAAAAGCTAACTCACATTAAAGTAATATATATATATATATATATATATATATATATATATATATATATATATCTATATATATATATATATATATATATATATATATATATATATATATATATATATATATATTGTACCGAAGCATAGTGGCGCCAGCTCTGTGCCAGCGTGAAAGAAGACGTTGACGTCCGTGTGTGGCTCGTGCTTGCCGGGTTCCTGCCTGTACCAGCTTGTTGCGGCTAACGTTTCTGGAATAATAACCTGTGTTTTTACGCAACCTTGCTCGTTGCATTTGGTGGAAACGTGCTGGGTAACGTCCTGGAGCTCCGCAGCCGTAAGCTACCTTCTCAGTCCACGATGACCGAGCGCGTCGATCCCCCACAAGGCTCTTCCACGCTGCCACCCGTCATGTGTTCTGGTGTACTTCGTCTGCGTGACCCACCAGTATACAACGGCACAGAAGATCAAGATGTCGAGGACTGGCTGGCAGAGTACGAGCATGCCAGCGCGATTAACAAGTGGGATGACCCTGCGAAGCTGATTCACGTCATCTTCTACTTGACGGATTTGGCCAACCTATGGTTCACCAACCACCAAGCCGACATCCCCACCTGGTCGGTTTTCAAAGAGGCCGTCACCTCGTTTTTCGGTCGTCCAGCCATGCGTAAGCTTCGCGCTGAACTGGGACTGCGGGGACGATTTCAGCGAAATGGTGAGAGCTTCACAAGCTACATTGAGGATGTGATCAGCCTCTGTAGGCGAGTTGATGACAGGATGACGGAGGCTGACAGAATAAAGAACATAATGAAAGGCATTGATGACGACGCTTTTCATATGCTTGTGGCCAAAGACCCACAGACCGTCACGGCCTTGATTCAGTTATGTCAAAGTTTCGATGAGCTGCGCAAGCAACGAGTTTCTACACGTCGCGCTAATACGCAGACAGCTGATATTTCGGCCTTGGAGTGCAAAAGCAGTGGCCCCGACTACAGCGTGTTAATGCCTCAAATTCAACAGTACATCCGGGAGGAAGTTGCTCGACAGCTCTCTCTTGTCGCCACCATCAACGAGACCCCCACAACACTGGACCACTCACTTCGCCGTGCTATTCAGACGCAAGTTGCCGAGGCTCCCCTTCGCCCACATCCCCAATATCAGTGGCTGCACCGCTGACTTATGCAGAAGCCGTCCGCCGACCTTCTGCCCAACCGCCGCTCCCTTCATACAGTCCAGCCACCAACTACTACAGGTCACCAGTTTCAGTTTATCCGGTAAATCGGCCCATTCCACCACCTCGAGCACCTGCCAACTCTTGGCGTACTCCGGATAACCGGCCCATCTGCTACAACTGTGGTATTCCAGGACATGTCGCGCGCTACTGTCGTCGCCGTGGATTCTATTTTAATGATGTGCAGCATTCCGGCAACATACCTCGGCCATCAGAATCGCATGTGACACCTGATTCGCATGACCCCCGCTCACGTCGACCAGACTTCAGCCGACGTCGATCTCCTTCACCCCGTCTTCGGTCTCCTTCCCCCATGCTTTCGCCGTTCCAACCACGCCCAGGAGGAAAACTGACAGTCGCAGTTCCTGAGGCAAGAGCTGCGCCACCGACGAAATTTCCAAGGCCTCATCTATCGCCCCCTAACGAGATTGCCGTGTTTGTGGACGGTTTCGCCACAACTGCTCTTGTCGACACAGGTGCCGCTATTTGTATAATCAGTGAAGTGTTATGCCGCAAACTGAACAAAGTGACGACTCCACTGGTTGAAATTTCTTTACGCACGGCGAGTTCGCAACACGTCCAACCTTCTGCCACATGCACTGCTCGTGTTGTGATTCAAGGAGTGCTTTACATCGTAGAATTTGTCGTCCTTCCGCATGCGTCTCATGAAATCATCCTGGGATGGAACTTTCTTTCCGCTAATCATGCGGTTGTCGACTGCGCTCGTGCTCAACTCGTTTTGTTTCCATTCAGCACGACATTCATAGATCTCCCTCGCTCACCAAAAAGGTGATCGTCGCCGCTGACGTCGTCATTTCTGCTTTTTCGGTCACCGCGGTATCTCTTTTGTGCAACTCCGTTACCGATTCAACTGCCCTATTTATGCCGTCACAAGAATGCGCTCGTCGCCGGAACCTTGTCGTCCCGTTTGCCGTCATAACACTTGCCGATGGCTCCAGTGCCGTGTACGTGTGCAATCCGTTCCCTTGTCCCGCTACCTTATTGCATGGCGAATGCATTGGGAGTCTTGACACTTATGATGACATCTTTCCTTTCGATGCCCGTTCTGATACGACACCGATGTCCGTGGATGCTGTCACAGCTGGCACCGCGCCCTCACTACCTGACGAAGACGTTCTGTTGCGCAGCGTAGACACCGGCCTTACGCAAGACCAGCGCAATCAGCTCATTCAACTACTTGACCGTTTCCGCGCCTCCTTTGACCACGGACAACCTCCCTTGGGACGCACGTCAGTTGTCGCTCACCATATCGACACCGGTTATCATACTCCACTTCGTCAGCGCCCTTACCGCGTCTCGCAGGCCGAGCGTGGCGTCATCACTCAACACGTCGACGAGATGCTGCAACGTGGTGTTATTCAGCACTCACACAGTCCTTGGGCTTCGCCAGTGGTCCTCGTGCGAAAAAAGGATGGCTCCATCAGGTTTTGCGTGGATTATCGTCGACTAAACAACATCACACGCAAGGATGTTTATCCCCTGCCACGCATTGATGACGCCTTGGATTGCCTTCAAGGTGCGGAGTTTTTCTCTTCACTGGATCTGCGCTCTGGATATTGGCAAGTACCAATGGCTGAACCAGACCGTCCAAAAACGGCGTTTGTGACCCCTGACGGCTTATATGAATTTAATGTAATGCCCTTCGGTCTTTGCAATGCGCCTGCGACTTTTGAAAGAATGATGGACAGTGTCCTCAGGGGACTTAAATGGCACATCTGTCTTTGCTATTTAGACGACATAGTTGTATTCTCGGCGAATTTCGAAACTCATCTTTCCCGTCTGGAACAAGTTCTCCAGTGCCTTACGGCAGCCGGGTTGCAACTTAACTTCAAGAAATGTCGTTTTGGCGCCCGCAAACTCACAATTCTCGGCCACGTCGTTTCAAAAGAAGGAATATCGCCAGATCCTGCCAAACTGCGTGCCGTTGCCGAGTACCCCAAGCCTACTACCCTAAAGGAGCTTCGTAGTTTCATAGGCTTGTGTTCCTATTTTCGGCGTTTCATTCGCAATTTTGCCTCTATAATTGCCCCTCTGACTCAGCTTCTCTCCCGTAGCACGGACCTCTCTGGCTGGAATTCCCACTGCGATGAGGCATTCACGGCGCTACGCCGGCTACTCATCTCTCCGCCAGTTCTCCGCCACTTCGATCCCAATGCACCCACTGAAATTCACACGGATGCAAGCGGTGTCGGCCTCGGTGCCATTCTCGCTCAACGCAAGGATGGCTGCGACGAGTACGTTGTCGCCTATGCCAGCCGT